AAAAAGGTAATGGGTTTACTTTATTTATTTTTCTTGTATTCTCTCTTTCTGTCTCCATCAACACATATATCTATACACAGCACACCGAAACGTGAAAATTTTCTGCGAAATTAAAAATTGAACATTTTTATTTTTATACAAAAGTGCCATCGCTGGAATTGGCAATCTGCATTATTTCCATTCACCCAATTGGCTTTTCGCGAATTGTTTTTCTTTTACGTTGTGTCTCTCTTTCCAAACACCTGGCATGCCCTTTTCCAACCCTTACGTAGTTCCCAACCATTCCTCATGCACATTACTTCTGCAAAAACCCTCTGCTCGGAGACTATATAGAATTTTTATATATGCGAGAAGCTTTGAAGTCGCGCTTTCCCAATTTCCTCGTAAAAATAGATAATAAAATATCTGTTTTCCGCGCGAAGGGTTTCTGCACGATGCGACTGTGTCTATTTTCTCGTCTCTTCTCTTTCGTGTTGTAGTACTATATTTTTTTTTTGGTACATCCCTTTAGAGTTGTTAATTTCGCTTGTAGATGGTCGTGCAATGAAAGCAAATTACAAGATAACTCTCGGTAACACCGGCGCCGCCATTAAGATCGAGCAAACCTTGTGATTGCGTGAGTAGACTCGGTCCCAGCTGTAAAATTAGCTCTGAACTACTTTTTTTCTGTTCTTTACAACAAAAAAAAAACAGAAGAAAATGCATAGGGAAAGTACTGAAAACAAAACAAATTGATAAACTGGATCAAAACTTTCTCTTTGTTTTAGTTTGTTTTTGTTTTTATTTGGTTTGTTTTCTTTCCCCCTCAACCACCCACAGATTTCGTTTGAATTAATTTTGTTTAATGTTTTTTTTTTTCTTTCTTTCTGTGTGCTCTTTGCAAACAGATTATACTGGCGAAATTAACACGCTGATGTGTTTTTTTTTTAATTTTTAATTTGTTATATAAAAAAAAAATATCATTACACAACCAACTCTACACAGCATATCCCCTCAAACTCACATACTTGTTACTATGTTTTTTTTATGTTTGTTGTTCAGGAAGATACGATCTACAACACGTTTTGTACTTGATTTTGTTTTTGACATGTTTCTGTTGTTCTCCCCTTAGTTCGCAAAGACCTAACACTCCGATTGCGGTTCCGATTCTTTAACCATAGGAAAACTCCCCTCATAAAGTGAAGGTACCTATGTCGTGAACTGTTTTATATCTCTCTATTTTCTATCTTTACCTTAATTTCATACCAGTAGAAATACTCTTTTTTTTTTTAACCCAAAGTAAAACTGAAATCACCATCTAACCGAATTGCAAGCTACATGAGATAAAGTCCACAAACGAAAGCTTCTCATTTAATAACGAGTACAGTGTTGATGTTGTGACTAAAGTACTAAATAATAATCGCACGTAGAGCTCTGATCCCAAATTCATGCGTAGTTTAATTGTTTTCTGTTTATTTGAAATTATTTAATATCGCATTAAACATTGATTTTGTAGACAGAAATGTCTGGAAAATGCGACACGTCCGATACATTTTCACGATTAGCGAACGAATTGTTCGTTTGCTGAATATAGTCGTGACGCGAGGAAATGAAGCGCTGAAAAATGCGCGCGAGCTGAAATAAATAATAGATTATTGTCGTTTCGTCCGTTGCACTTTCAATCGTTATTGGATCACATTCCCAATGCAATGGAAGTCTGCATTAACGAGATTTCCATTTAGCTACGTTTTCTGAAAAAATAAACAACTATACAAACAGCTTCAGTTTATTAATAACTTCTCTGAAAGAAACATTAAATTTAATCATTTGTTAAAGTGTGCATGCGAGTAGAGAAGATTCACGGTAATGGTTTATCTGTTGGTTTTAGAGCGCTCGAAAATAGCTTCTTTATGGACGCACACATTTTATTCATGAAAAATATCAAACGACGTTTATTTCCTACCAGTTTTCATTCTTTCAATTTTATGTAATTTTCATTCTTTCGAATCATTTATTTAGTTTCCAATTAGAAGTTTGCGATGGAATTCGAAAATGACCAAAATTTGATCAATTTTGTATGTGAATTTTCATTATATAATTTTCCAATAGTTCAGTGAATTATAAATATTCATATTTTGTTCAGTATATTTTATCTAAATTTACAAATGTTTCAGTTATTTTTTAGTAAATTAAGAGATTTCAATTATTATTTCTTAATTTTTAAAATTTATAAATATCGTGATTAATTAGTTGATTGCCAATCCAAATTTTATCCAACAGTTTTATTATTTGATCACATTCATAGTTTTGATATTCTGGTATCAATGATACTAATAAAATATCAAACGACGTTTATTTCCTACCAGTTTTCATTCTTTCAATTTTATGTAATTTTCATTCTTTCGAATCATTTATTTAGTTTCCAATTAGAAGTTTGCGATGGAATTCGAAAATGACCAATCAATACTTTGGGAGGTGGCGATTTCTTGGATTATGGGTACTAAAATAACGCGAGTTTTACTACTTCGACTACAGTTTTAATATTGATCCAAGATACTCAAGTTTCCGGTGATTTCGAATAACGTATTGAGTTCCAAAAGATACAGTTTTTCGTAACAAGTCGTTAGGAATTTAATTATGTCGAGTGCTCGAAATGTTTGCGCTGGACAATATTTGTTTTTGCTATATCGATTTGCAGTCTACATGAATTAGAGTCTAATTATTAGGGGTTTGGATCACCTAAGGTCCCTAATTGATTGAGGTATTTTCGGGAAGGGCTGCAGTACGTGCACGAACTTTAATTAAATTCAATTTACTGCATACGGCACCATCATTTAATTAAACTAACCGAAAGCTGTAGTCTTTCTATCTTTGATCTTTTACCTCTGATGAAATGATCGCGATGTCTCGTGATATTACGTAATTATTAAATTAGATTTGTTTTTAATAGAAATATTTAATATACTTTGGTGCATGCACTTCGTTTAATTGATACACGTTTATGGACTCTTTTTTTGTTGTTATGTTTGTGTTAATTTCGAAGTAGTTGCAATTTGGTTAATTGGTCACGTACACACAACTAAAACTGCGAGATATGAAATGCGCGATGTATTTTATATATCAAATAAATGCTCGTGCACATTATTGGATTCGGTAGGATTACGGAAATTCGAACGTGACTTTTTCTTGATCGCAATCCGTTTTTCGTGTACCAGGTTTTGACCATTGAATATGAATGACGGTATGATCCATTAAATTTTCATTAGCGTTGCCGGTCATTACATAAATTGTTAATAATTTAATCAGCTTCGTTATTGAATTACAGCCGCCTGCAGCGGGCTTTATTTATTCATTACTATAAATTTCGCTTGCGATCACTGAAAAAAAAATAATGTGGAAAGCTTTAATGTATAGCCCGGATCCATTTATATTGTCAAACGTTAAAATTTATAAATATCGTGATTAATTAGTTGATTGCCAAATCCAAATTTTATCCAACAGTTTTATTATTTGATCACATTCATAGTTTCGATATTCTGGTATCAATGATACTAATAAATTTACTAATTGAAGATGAGAAACTTTACAATTGATCAATTTTTTTTTAAATAATTACAAATGAAATTCATATTCTCTGGTGTTCTTAAATTTGGTACAGTACATTTTTTTTTGTTCATTATTATTTTTTTTAATTATACTTACATTTTGTATCATATATAATTTTTGTGAACTGCATGGA